CCCCCCCAGCCTGTGTGACATGATGTCGTTATTTGCCTTGCTGTTCGTTGTATACGTTGTTGCTGGCCATCAGTTGCTTTGTCCTATTGGACTGCTGTTTATGGCTCATGGCTTATAGTGCCCTCGGGCTCTAGTCCTTGTGTCTTAGTAGGGTTGGTGAATGATAGAGGCTTCTGCATGCCATGACCACGGTACAAGGGGTAATAAGGACCCAGTGGTGTTCAGATGCTCGAAAGGTCTCGGTGTGGGTGATGCAAAGGCTTGTTGTATAGGTCTTTCTAAAATGGTGTGAAAAACTTCACATACCCTACATGCAACTCGTCGCGATTCGCGTCGTGGTAACGTTATGGTTAGTTAAACACACACACACACTTCGACGTCTAATCATGTGGTTCCAGACAACATTAGCTCGGACAGATCTTAGAGATTACGAAACGTGGAGATGACCATCGGTCAGGCCTATCTCTTTGCTTGCTCTCATCCGAGAGACCCATAACCATATGTTCTAAGATGAGCAGCACTCTTTCACATAAGAACTTCAAAAGTTAAAAACATATATCATGATTGATGACATTATCATCATATCTCAAATGACATCGGTGACATCTGCAATGTCCGCCTTCTTACCTTTGCCTCCAAAACTTGTCGATCCAGCTGTGCTACGCTGTATGACTGATCTTCATTCTCTTCCTCGCTCAGCGGCACTTCGCTTGCGAATGAGCGCTTCGGTGGTAATGGTCGGGGCCCGAGCAACATCACAGGAGCTCCTTCCCATGGGGCTGGATCATTTGCTGTTGGTTGTCCGGTAGCTGTACTTAGACAGAGACATTAAACAATGCACACAACGAAATACATACAGAGATATTAGATTAGCTTTAAAAAACAAGGTTTAACTAACAAATAAGTTGTAGATTTAAGCTACATAATAACTTTATTAAGAGTGTATATTAGTGCAAAGAACATGAGCGTGGACGAAGCATAGACATCCAGAATGCAAAATCACACTGAAAGTCCAAGTAGTCAAAGCCAAAGTAGATAGCACATGGAACTGAGTAACCATCCAATTGAGAATGATACAGAAGAATCGTGAGTCAATATCCATGCCCTAGAAAGCAATACCAACAGCATAACCCAAATGTAGTTCTCTCTTGTGAATGGCGATGGTGAGAGTACTTACATTCGTAGTTTGGTTTGCATGCGACTGGATGGGATGACTAGTTTTTTGGTTTTCAATATTATAGGTAGTTGCTTTAGTTGCTCGCCACGTACCAGAGCCATAGGAGTCATTGTCAATTCCTGCATTTTCTGTAATATTTTTTTTTACTTAGGTCAATTCCTGCATTTCTGAGATCTTTTCTTATACTTGGCTTTGTATAAATCTTGGCAAGCTATTTTTTCTATGGGAAACGCCGCCGAAATTTATACAAATCCAAGGAGTTAGTCAACTTTTGACTTATCAGAGTTCAACTTGTCTTTTCCATATATCTAGCTTAGTAGGAATCTGAAAAGTCTCATTTTTTAAGGGGAGTGCTGCCCAAATTTTTACTAATTCAGGGAGTTAGATAAAATTGAACTTTGAGAAGTCAAAGTTATTCTCAAGTTTTGAACCTAGTCTTGTATAAATTTTGGAATAACACTTTTCTATAGGGAGTGCTGTCAAAATTTCTACAAAATTAAGGAGTTAGTTAAATTCTGTCTAAAATTGAGCTCGAGCTGTTGTTCGAGTTCATATCTTACTTAGTATAAATCTGGAAAGTCTCTCTTTCTAAAGGGAGTGCTGCCTAAATTTCTGTTATTTCATGAAGTTAGACGTAATTTCACTTTCTAGAGTTTGAGATTATTTTTGCCTTCATATCGGACTTAATATAAATTTGGAAAGCCTCCTTTTCTAAAGGGAGTGCTGCCCAAATTTTTGGAGAGGCACTTCTCCTACGGGAAGCGCTGCCGAAATTTTTCTAGTTTAGAGGAGATAGATTATATTTTGACAGGTGGTGATTCAGGCGATTCATCTAGAATAGGGGAGATTCTGCAGTTGCTCTACCTTTGGCTTAAGCACTGACTTAAAGGTAGACTTAGGTTTAGCTTATAGGGAGATTTTGAGTGAGAATGTATTATGGAGTTGTATTCTCCATACACTTATGATCTTAGCTGGGGGATTGGTCTGTCGTATGTTACAGGTTTTTTTTATTATTTGATCCAATTTCAGGACTAGATCCAGCTTGATCCCTTGAGGATCACTTTCTGTTATCACTGATAACAGGTCGGTTGCTGGCTCGTCAGTCTACCACTCAATTTCAACTCACCCTCCACACTCTACCTAAAAGCCTTAAGCCCTGGTGATTTCGTTGTTTTCATTAAGGTTTCACCCGGACTTTTATTGAATGACCATTTAACAAAGGTACTGAGTATTTTAATTAAGGTTGGTTGGACAAGAGGTTTGGGGCTTGCATGGCTAAAGCAAGGTATGAGTGTCGAAGGTGGTTGGGGTTGACTCCATGTAGCGCGTGGACTGTTGATTTGACTCGTTGATGTGATTCCATGTATAATTGTGGTTTGGACTGTGCGTGTGATTGCCTGCGATTTTATACATATGTGACTGAGAGGAGTCTCACTGTGACTTTCAGAAGTGATCGTCCTA